TTTAAACTGGAAGAGGGTAGGTTTAGTTTAGCTATTAGGAAGGAATTCTTCACTGTGAGTGTGGTGAGACACTGGAACAGGTTGCCCAAGGAAGTTGTGGATGTCCCCTCCTTGGAAGTGTTTAAGGCCAGGCTGGATGAGGCTTTGAGCAACCTGGTCTAGTGGAAGGGGTCCCTGCTGATGGCAGGGGGGTTGGAACTAGATGATCTTTAAGCTCCCTTCCAACCCAGACCATTCTGATTCTATGAACAGGTCAGCTCTCTAAAAATATCTCAAGACATTAAAACACACTTGTACAAAATTATCTTGTAAAAAAATGCCCATAAACATCGGAGGGGAGAGCGGGTGGCAAAAAAAGTGCCCAGATTACATAAAGAAAGAAGATCGAGAAAAGTAAAGAACAGTTTTTCCATATGCAATATATTTAAAATAGGTCTGACAAATTATATAGCTGGCACTGCTACGCAGGACAGGCAATGAAAGACAAATCAGTAAGCAAGAAAAAACATTAGGCATAACACTAGTAACATAGTACCAGATATCCTTCAATACATCAATCCAGTCACTGCAAACATTTTTAAAACTTGTCAAATTTGTAAGGCTTCTATGGACACTGTTACGCTAAATGATTAACTATCACTTCTCTCTCCAATCACCAATCTCAATTAGAATGTAACAATGCTGTAGATGACCATGCAAGATCCCTCAATTAATTTTTTTTCCCCAACTAGATTTATGTCTTTATATTCAACTCCTCTATGTAAACTCCTTTTAATTCAGTCTTCAGATAAACGTTAACATTTTAAAAAGGCGGGCCTCACAATAAACACACAGCACATCTCAAGGTTGTTGTAATTGTGAGTTATTCTCAAGCAATGTTATAAAACATTTTAATGTCTTGATAAGAAAATAAAATTTAAATAAAAATACATTCAACAATACATCATAACACAAATTAAAACTAACGATAATTTACAATCCTAACAGAAGTAATTACTGAATAACATCATCTTTCTAGACTAATCAAAATGAAGGCAACTTTTATTATTAATCATCCTACTTGTACCTAAGTAAATTCTAGAACATCTACTGCATTTTAAAACGTTATAAAATGAGAAATCAAATCTTAATGGTCACAAATATTCAATGGCCTTTGTTTTTTTCCTAGATATTCCAGTACCAAAGCAAAAAAAGTGCATATTTGTAAAAAGTTGCAAGAGTTTTTCACAAATTTGACTTTGAAAACAACAGAAAATGGCTCCAAGGAACAGACACTTTGCCACAGGGTTAATCCATATACTGCAAAACCTAACTTTGATACTCAACCACATTCAATTTTGTTTTATGGCAACTTTTTATTAATGGCAATTAATCAGACCCACTTTACCGTGTCAAAACACATTTCTTGGCATTACTATATTCCCTTCCCTCCCACCTCAGTTTCAACTGTTGGCAAATAAAAGTCACTTAGAATACATCAAATATGTAAAAAATGAAAAGGCAAAACCAATTGAAGTGATTAAATGATTGTGACATTGCAGACACTAGTACTGAATCCTGGATATTCTAAAATAGTTTGTCTGTATTAAACCAAATAGTTATTCTAACAAGTTACATTCATTCCAAAAGAGATTTCAATCGTGTCTTGCCAACTTGCTTCTATTACAGAAAGCCTCCCTACAACAGTATAATAAATGTGTAGTAATTTGAACAGCTTACAGTTTTAAGCATTGTGGATTTCTATTTTATTTCTAAGTTACATTCCTAATTAATTTGGCCAAATCATGATTGTAAAAATAAACCAAAACAAAAGAAAAAACAAAAACCTAAAACCAACCAAACAAAAAACATCCAGCAAAACAACAGACCCCACAGCAAATGCTCCAAAAGTACCACATATAGTTAATATTAAAAATAATATTCCAAGGAGTACCATTGTGTTTAATACTGATGAAGCAAAGTTGCCACAGTAATGCCTTTGCTTCTTCCTGGTTATACACATATATGTTCTTGCAGCCTAAACCCAACTTCCCAGATGAAGAGAGCAAAATTAATCTCACTAAGGTCAAGAATGCCAGTTTAAAATTGTGTTAAGTGGCAAATACAAATCCATAAAACTAAAGATATAAAAATACTCACTGAAGCATTGCTTAAAGACAAACAATGTTGATCATTCAACTGATCATAACAAGCAGATACTACAAAGTATCTAAAAATAATCTGGGAAAGTCCAGATATCTAAAGTGCTTTGAGTGATTATAATAGAGATTATTTGTTAGATCTGTAGTCAAAAGGTGAGCTGGACCTAGTTATTACTTTTTATAAAAAAAAAAGAAATAAAATCATACATGGGATGATGTAAATTGATCAGTACTTAACCACAATCTGTTCACATTTAAATTTATCTATCTGTAGGCAAACTTATTTAAGAAGAATGTTGCCACCCTGCATTTCTTTTTAGATTAAGAAAAATTATGTACCTTTAAAAATCCTGAAGAAAACAGATAGTGGTCTAATATCACTCCATATAGTACTCACCCAAAATGTAAACAAGAGGTACAACGTAAGTTCCCTGAATTCTTCTTCTTTAGTACTTAAAAACATAACTAACACTGGTATCTGCTGTCCAGATTATTTGCATCATATTGCATTACTTTGCAATACTTCAGCTGTAGATAAATCAAGTCCTGACAACACCTAATACAAGGAAAAAAGTCAAATAAATTGAGTGTGAAGCTTCGGATCTCTTCCATGGCATAGTATCTTGGGATTTCTATCAGCAGGGCAGGCACTCATGGTAAACTCATGCAAGTTTGCAGTGTATGTATTCAGAGATGTAATCCAACCAACAAATGTTGTGTGGATTTTCTTCCATTAAAAAGCTTATTAGTTTAGAAAGTTCTTTCCAATAAGACAACAATGGCAAAACAACATTTAGATTTATTCACACCTGTTACTCAAGGACCTGGAACTTCCAAGTTCTTCAGCAGAATGAGAATAAACCTTAAGACCAGATTTCCAAGTAGATATTTTTCTATTAAATATTAAATAGATTGTCAACACAACTAGCATTTATGTTCATTCTTACACACTTTGTAAAAATGCATATAACAAATTTAAAACAACAACAAAAAACAAACCAAAACACTCAAGAACATTTCCAGTTTCTTTTTTCATCCAAGTGTGATATTTTGTTTTGGTTAGGAAACTTTTCCAACAATTGGATTTTCTCTGGAAAAAATAAAATATTATATGTAAACATTTTTAAGGTTAACATTTGCTTTTTAGTTTTCATAATACAATTTTAATTTATTAAGCAAACATGTTTTTTTGCACAATTTCTACCACTACGTGTGAAATTTCCTGATTTGTGGAAAACCTCACATACCTTCATGCGAGATCTTTAAATCAAAGTCAATTTTTCTAAACAATATGGGTCAAATACTAAAATAGATAAACCAAATCAGGGTTTTAGCATTCTTTTTTTCCAGTAAATCAAGCCTTACTGATGCAAAGAAGAAATGAGAAAACTGCTGTTGGTGTTCCACAGATATCAGCCAGGATTGAAGAGAATTGAAAGAATCGGCTCTGGAACAACAATGTACTCCAAAGAACAGATTTTTTTTAACTTCACCAGAAACAGTATTTTTCATTGAGAATGGCAAGTGATTTACAAACAGTAAATATACTGCATGAAAGAGATGTTTATGCAGTGTAATTTTTACAGTTTTATATAACTCAATATTTTCTTTATTTCTTAAGTGAAATTTGAAATTTTGAAAATAAAAATTAGAAGGTAGGCAGACAGTTAAGGATAAATTTTGTGTGCACTTCAGAAGTTGCAAGGAGACAACAGCCACTGCACTACTTATAGGAATCTCAACAAGAACACAGATGAATCCCACACCAGAGGAACTTCTGGTATCTTTTAACAACTGGTAAAAAGCTGCATTACTACAAATGATATACCTTATTTTCTCCACGTCTTTGTGTTGCCTAAATCTACTTTTAGCTTAATTATCTCTACCTCAACAAGCCTGGCCTTGTTCTGTGACTTTTTTTTTTTTTTTAATACACATTTATGTATGTTAAAAATTACATGAGATACTTACTCACTACCATATTTAGCACTAGATGACCTCTTCTTTCTGTATTTTTCATGCGATTCATTCAGCTTTTCTACTATATCTATTATCTGTTTAAGTGTATGAAAAGTTGCTACAGAATCTTCAATTGTGAAGTTAGAATAATCATCTGGTTCTTTCCGTGGACCTTGATAGACTGCTATACTTCCACAAGCCTCTACAAAAATGACAATTATCCCAGTTAGAATTTTGATAATTAACAGACAGATCTAACTCTTATGTAAATAGTGATTCTGAAATGTAAAGTTACTCTATCTTATACATAAAATGGGTTAAGACAAAAGCAGGAAACAGTATCAACTAGATATATTTACAATTCTGTGGTTTATTCTCAGCTGGTTGTGTTCAGCATCTTGAGCATCCAGCTCTCTCCTGTTCACATTAACAGAAGACCAATGCTTTCTTGCAACTCAACCATGTTCAATAGTGTCCACTCCACAGTCAAGTCAGCAAAAAGAGAGCAAAGACAGAAGAGCAACCAGCTATAGCTACAGTCTGTTTAAACTATTAGTTATTTCATATATGCAAATTCAATGAGAACAATGTGCATGCCTGATGTCTACTGCACAGAAATGACCGAAGAATGTCTGATACCAGAGCACTAATGTGACAAAAATATAATGTTATCTCTATTCTCCATTATTTTCAGGTGAATTGTTAAGACATCAAACTGATGTTATGGGCCTAAAGAATTAGAAAAGAATAACAGCAGTATAATTTCTCCGGGTTATTATTTTAATACCTTCCAACTTCTGTAGTTTAGACATGTTGACAGTGAAAAGTGAGTAAATTCTTTCCGTCTCTCTGTCTCCATCAATCTCAATTTGATTTTTTAGCAGGAACATCTCTAAAAGGTGAAAAAAGAGATGGGTAGTCAATATAAATAATTCTTGAAAGGTTTGAAAGTGAGTAAAAACTGATTCTGTTTCAACATACTCAGCTTTCGACACGTCTGTCACTCACAGATAGCTTTACAATTAGTACATAAAACTTGGCGTTCATTGCAAGCGTACTATAAACAGGAGTATACGGTTTTGAGGGCAATTAACACTACCAAACACCGCTTTTTCCAACAGAGTTTATTATTTAGTCTGTCAAGAGAAAAATATTTCAAAAATATCAAAGTAAGATCAATTGTTACTAAATGAAAATTAAACACTTCTTTTAAAATCTACTGTACTTGAAAGGTAACCTAAACAGAAGGACAAGATACATTTCAAACCAGAACACTTCCAAAAAAAAAAAAAGACAAAAACAACCAAAAGTTATTTAGTAACAGGAATCTTGTGAACTATTGAGAAACCCAATATAGAAATAAACTGGGTAACACGGAAAAATTATTATATATATTTTCAGAAAGTTATCTTGTAGAACTTATACTGAATTTTAGAAGACTAGCTGAGATCTTTAGTCTGCAAGTTATGCAAAGTTATGCAATCTATGCAGTTAAGGATAAAATTATTTTTAAAAAAGATCAGAGCATTTGTTTGTTTTCACAAAATCAGCAGCTTAAAGAAAGGCATTAATGCTTTATAAGACGTTATTAATTTTCTCATACCAACAAAAACCAAATTATTTGTCAGAAACTACATCCAAGATTGCTGTTTTCCTTAGTACACTGTGTTTTAAAATACGTGAGGTTAAAATAAAAAAAAAGTGACTGCATAAAACAAGACAATGTTATTAGGGAAA